TATTTTTGGAGGGAGAAAACATAACCTTGATTTTATTTTTCGAGGGAGAAAACGTAACCTTGATTTTATTTTTGGAGGGACAAAATGTAACCTTGATTTTATTTTTGGAGGGGGAAAACATAACCTAAATCTTTTTTATGTTAAATTCTATAACACACTGGCGGCTTTTAAATGTTAACTGTATGAAGCAGATTCTGTGAATGACCCAATTTTACCACCATTATGCTTGCATATATTTGTTAATGTTTTGTTCTCAAGGGTAATCTTGATACTACTTTGATATTTCTGAAAATGCTGTATATGTTTTAAGTTAGACAAAGGGGAGAGTATACAACCCTGCCTGACACCTTGTGATACTATCAACAATGAAAGATTAGGAATTATACTCCAATGTGCAAGGTTGGGCTAAATCCATTATCTTCTTCTTTAGCAATCTCTGGTCATGTGCTTATTCCAATGTGGGCAATAAACTGTGATGTCCCCTCAAAGTCTCTTCACGTTTTCCCAAAGCTTTTTTGTCAGGTCTACTGGGTATGGTTACATGTTGCTCCACCAAGAGAGGACAGTCTTGCAAGACATGCTTTGGAGTCTGTTCTCACTTGAAGACACTGACAGAGAGCTGTTTGGCTCATAACCTAGTTTTTGACAAGACATTCCATTTCTTGACAAAATTTACAAAAGTGTTGACTAACTTCATCACAAGATGTGCCATTGTCAGTTTAACTTTATCACAAATTGTGCCATTGCTTCGCTCACTTTATCATAGAATGTGCCATTGCTTCGCTCACTTTAACACAAAACCTGCTATTGCTTCACTCATTTTATCACAAAATGTGCCATTTGTTCGCTTAATTTATCAAAAAATGTACCATTGCTTTGCTCACTTTACCACAAATTGTGCCATTATTTCTCACTTTATCCCAAAATATGCCAGTGTTTGACTAAATAGGGGGTGACTAGTCTAGATGATGACAATACAACATTTATTATTAGTCTATTCTTTTCGCTGTGCTTTCTAGTCAGATTTTATTATGTTGTATTTAGCACAATGTGTGACTAACTTTATGACACTATTTGTTAGCACTTGTCTAACTTTATCACAAAATGGGCCAGTTTGACTAGCTTTATGACATGTGTCAATGTTTGTTATAACTCTGATAACAAGATGTACCAATGCACTTTGTTCACACTGTGCTGTTTGTAAAATGTAATTTGATACAGACATCTTCATTCCAAAAGTGTGGCCTGAAAAAACAAAGATTGTGTTCTCTAAACATTTCCGTTGTTGGCTGTCAAGTAAAATGATTGTCTGTGTTAATTCTACACTTAATTAAATCCAATCTTTGGCTTAAATATAACTAATGCACCAATTATGTAATGTTTGTTCATTTATTTCATCTCAACAACTGCACCTGGGTGTAACCAGAGAGTCTGGCCGGCTCACTTCACTCAGAGTAAAGGCAAAAAGGACATATAACCAGATTGTGATTGGTACCATCAGTATTGGAACTCTGTGCTGGCTGCTGAAGATGAAGAGGGAGCACACATGGAAATGCCCCAAGTGTTGTGATGTCAGTTCTTGACTCAACTCAACTCAGCTCAACTGCTTCCTCATCATCACATCCTCTTTAACTGTCTTGCCAGTTGGCATGGGTGGCCAGGCCTCTCCACATCTTAGATCAACAGAATTTATTACCATATCTTTCTGTGATTAAAAGGAGGATGGTCATAGCAATGCAAAGATTAAACAGCCTAAAAAGTCTATGGTTAAGCACCAGCAAGGAGATCAAAATTAGAATTTTGAGAGCATGCATCTTCCATGTAGCAACATACGGATGTGAGACGTGGACTATCTCTCAGTCCTTGAGAAAGAGAATAGGGGCTTTTGAGCTGAAATGCTATAGAAAGATTCTCAGAATATCTTGGATGAAAAAGATGAGAAATACTGACATCTTGAAAGATCTGAACATCAAGGAAGATTGGCTAATAAACAGCATCCCGTCTCGGAAGCTGAAATACTTGGGTCATATCAATCGCCACGACGGATTGGAAAACATTATAGCAGAAGGCATGGTACCAGGAAGGAGGGGCAGAGGCCGACCAACACGAAGATGGGCACAGGATACAAGTGCCTCCTTGAGCGTAAAAGTGCATGAGGCGGAAGAGCTAGTGATAGACAGTGTTTCTTTCAGGCAGACCGGAATGAGAGCGACGTTCTGCAAAGTACTTGCTATTGTTGGAAAACAAGTATAGGTAATCGTATAAATGGGACCTCTTTTACACAGAAAAGTAAGGTTTTTGTGCTGATCAAAAATTGTCTTCTTCTTTCTCTCTTTCCACAAATCTTTCCAGTTGTCACAACATGTACCAGTTTTTCTCTTCTTGTAATGTGACCCACAACATTACGACTGCCTCTGGTATTTGTTTGTTCTCATAAATAGTTGAATTGAGTCTCTGAAAATGTATTTATGCAGAAATTTTAGTTGTTTTTTTAACTCTTTGAGTCCCAAGAAACGCATCATACGTTCATAGGTTCCTACCTACAAGCCCAATGAACACATGATGCGCCAATTTCGTGTCTCTTTTGGCTACCCTTGGGCCTGTGATGCTAAACCCCCTGGGACTCAAAGAGTTAATGGGGGGGGGGGGGGGGGGGGGGGGGGAGGAGGCAATCAGATATGAGGTTCTGGAGAGAATAGGAATGAAAAGACAATCATCATCAAAAACCACTTCTACCGATAAGTGTCATGGGGAGGAGTAATTTGCAATCCAGTGCACACTGGCTATTGTCATGCCATAAAGGCGTAGAGTGTCTTTAATATTGTCAATCCATATTTTGCGGCTGTCCTCTTGCTCTCGTAGCTGACCTTCTGAGATGTAGTGCTTGTGATGGTATTTCATTTTGCTGCATTTTAAGATGGCCAAACCACCTGATCTGCTGTTTCTCAATGAATCTAGTACTAGGTGTCATTCCCACAATCTGTCTGATAGTATCATTATTCACTCGATCTTGGGTGGTTAGGTTGGCGGCTTTTCTCAGGCATCTCATCTCACAAGTGGTGATTCTGTGGACATTGGCTGTAGATAGTGTCCATGTCTGGCACTGTTAGCTTAATGTTGGAAAGAATAGGCTGTTTACAGTTTAGTTATGTTTGGATATCTGAATAATGGTGACAGTTGGTAAATCCAAAGACAATTATTAAAAGAAATTTAAAAAAATAGAACATCTTTTCAGCTGCACTCAGAGACATAATCTTATAATTATCATACTGGAGAAAAAAATTTCAGGTGAGCCAAACATGCAGACAGCCATACAGGTGGGAGGATGACATCAAGAGATGAACAATAGTTACTTCAGAGAATTTACAACCAGGACCATACATGAAGAGGTCTGGAGATCTATTGCAGTCAACCTTTATTGTAGAGACATTTGATTGACTGACTTTTAGCAACAATCCCGAAGACTGATTTAACCTTCTCACACAAAAGCAACAGACAATTATATTTAGATTGCGAACTGAACTCAATGGACTTAACAATCATATGAAAAGGCGGTTTAAAATTGAAATTTTTTGCCAAGATGACGGTGTAAACAACTTTCGCCTAAAATTGTGACAAAAAAGATGTGTTTATTTCTGGAAGGAATGTTAAATGTGTTAGATTAGTGTAGTTGTTCAGTTGAATATGAATTCGTGACAGGCCCGGCAATTCCGTGGAGGATTCAGTGGTCCAAAAAGAAATGCCCAAAACAAAAATAGATGTTTCAGAACATCAGTCTTAATAGTGCTTTTGACAGAGCTCATCAACGAATGTTACGTCTCCCCCCTGAAACTTCGATGAGGTACAAGGTGGAAGAGAAGAAGAAGAAGTTCAAGACTGAGGACCAAGAACTTTGTCTATGACACTGGGCTACAACATGGTATCAGTGAGAAGACAAAAGAAGAAGAACTTAGGCCATGTCGACAAGCTGCAAGAATACTGAACATCTGCTGCAGACACACTCACTCTACAAACAGTAGAAAGATCGCAGGTCTAGCCATTTAGCATTTCTTTGGAAACTAAGCTGTATGGAACAGCGAAGGACATGGGTTGCACCACAGCTTACGTAGAGGCCTCTGGTTTTCTCATCCCAAAAAATCACTGGCAAGGAGAATGAAAGGAAAAAGGGAGAAGGCTTCCAACATGTCTGCTTTCAAAACATTGATAACTTCTGCATTACTAGTTCTGCCAATCCATTTAACGTGTTGTTAAAATTCTTTATTCAATAAACAACAGACAGATTTGGAAAAAGAACATTTATTCACTGAAATGGTACACAATATTTTTTTGATGTTTTATTAATTTAAGATGGTTGCTCACTGAGATTTGTACATTGCATCTACCACAAACAAGGAAGCATTTTATATTTATATGTGGCTTGATGGAATACAAGTAAAAGTTCTGTGTATCAAACAAGTTATGTAGTATGATGGGTTATATCAATCACTCATAAGTTTTTAAAAAACCATTGAAAGAAGAAACATGAAATGCCTGATTCCATTATCTTCTGCCCTCCTTCAAAGCAAAAATCAGAATATTTTTCAAGCTGGCAGAGCGTATGTTAATTTTTAAATATTTTTTTTACCTGTACCAATTTTATTTCTTACTATTGAAATATGAAATGAATATTCAATGAGCCGACAACCAGAAAGTAATATGCATGAGCATTCAACTATTCTAGCCTCTATGAGGACACAAGAGGCAACTACAATATAAATAATCCTGATATATTTTCATACCGCAGCGATGTGGAGCTGATCCTCGACGAACCTGCTGCGAGTGTATCACTCTGGAGTTGTCGTCTTGAATAACCATCTCAATATTAGGTTGAAAATTGACAACTTTTCCTTTCACTTGCTTTTTTGGGGGACAAAAAATAAGCAAGTCATCCACCACCATAGGACACTTGTTTGTTACCTCCGTTCTGGTTGTCTCTGATGATGTTTTGTGTTTTTTTTTGGTTAGAGAGCATGCAGCCGGGCGCCTCTCCTCCTGTTGTTGCTGCTGAAACATTTCTTCTCTGGGAAAAAGATCAGGCCTGAGTGGTGTTCAATCTGGCAAAGTGGTGTCAGGAAGTCCTCCAGTTTTATTTCCTCACCTTCATCAGGAGCCGTGTTTGGCATCATGTAAGACTCCAGTTCTAGTTGGCCATCGTTGGTTTCGATAACAATCACCTGAAGTATGTCCACAATAGCGTGTATAAAATATACATTAACAAATTATTACAGTAAACTACCTATTCTTTGATTGTGAACTATTCTATAAAGGTCATTAATGTCTGTCTAGCGCAGGCTATATTGTCCCAAGGAGTGCTGAATGAACTTAAAATGGGACTAGAAAGCTCAATGGAGGGAATTAAAAAAAAAAAAAAGAAAAAAGATGACACACACAGATACAAGCAAACATTTTGACCAAAGTCTTGTATCAATGGAGTACTAAACACAACACCATTTGTGACTCAAAGGATAAGACAACAGGGCATCTAAACAACAAAGGTCAACCCAAAACCTAGAAATACATAACGGGGGAATAATGTGGACGTGAAGGGTTAAACCGAGAAACTGATTCAGAAGGCATTTGATAAACAAATAAAGAAACAAACAAAAAAAAAAACAAAGAGGAGGAGAAATATAAACACGTTAAAAAAATAAAATATTGCTGTGTTAAATATTGATCCTCCAAGCCTGAGGATGTTAAAACTGTGAATGAAAAGATTTTTCTAAAGAGTAGCGGCTGGTTTGATTATCAGAGCAAGATTTTATAGCAGTAACTCAGATATCAATTTTGCCTTTACAGTCAGAACTATTAACATCATCTACCTGTCCTCCTCTTCTGCTTCAGCTTTCCTATCATCATAACTTTCATGCCAATTTTCTTCTCATGATGCGATCATGTCTTCACCATGTGCCTGAAAAATTGTATCTGCCAAACTTGGATCTTATTTAGAGAACTACTTATTTCTTATGTATACACTATTGTTGGATGAAGACCTATTGACAATACTGGAAATGAACAGGCAGACAGATTGGCTGGATCTGCACCAATAGATGGTGAACTGATGCATGACAAGGCAGATGGGGTCAAGGCCCTTTGGGAACAAGCAACTGAATCAGCAGAGAAACATGATTAATATGGCTTGGATAGAGAGAAGCACCTGGGTATAACCAGAAGGTCTGACCAGCTTACTACACTCAGAGGAAAGGCAAGAAGGATATATAACCAGATTGTGATTGGTACCAACAGTATTGGAACTCTGTGCTGGCTGCTGAAGATGAGGACGGAGCATGCATGGGATGTTATGAGTGCTGTGATGTCAGTTCTTGACTCAGCTCAACTACTGACAAGTCTCAGATGGGAATTGAATACCCATATTTACAATACAGTATGTGTATGTGCCTTTCAGGTCAACCCACTTTTAAATGGGTACCTGGTACAGTCCTGGGAAGTAAAGGCGGCAGCCATTATGTTGACCACATCACCCACTAAATGCTGATTAGTCTATCAAATATAGATCTAGTCCCCTATTCTCAATACACCTGAACACATTGAAAAGGGTCCTTTAACTTTAAAAAAAAAATGCATATGCATCATATGCCACCATCATATCACCGTTATTTGTTGGTACATGAATAATACATTACATACCAGGTAAACGAAACAAGAATAACGTTAAAGAAAATTGATACCAGATCCCCCCAAAAATATAAACAAAATAAATTACCTTGAAAAAGTGAGTCGGCACTGAGACTTCACCATCACCAAGTACATCAAATTGTTTAATAGTCTTGTCATCTTCCACTCTGGGGGAAAAAAAGGGCACATTGCAGAGTTCAGAAGGAGGTTCTTTTTCTGCATTCGCCCATAAGCGGGCGATGGACATGTGATATAGTTTACGGCTTCTTCTTCCTCTTCTGTCTTTTCCCACTAATGAAGCATTGGCCCTCGACCAACTCACGGCAAGTCGTTCTATCCTTTGCTATTGCTTGCAACTTGCCCCATGTCTTCCCCATCTTTTTAACACCACTCTCTTGCTAAAATCCGTGACTCAAAGGAGATGCCATTCTGACAAGAATCAAAGAAGAGCTAATCCCAGAAACCATTTCAACCGTATAGCACAGTTATATTAGGGTACCCTATGCTCATGAAGTAATCTGATTTCAGTTTGGGTGAGTTGTTTAATCTTCTGTCTTAAAGAAAAAAGATGTATAAATCCAGTCCCTTCATCCCATAATGCTTTGAAATGCAGCTCTAACAGTTTTTTTTAGAAGACCTAGATTAAATAGCATATTGAATACCACAAGTAGAACTATAAGAATCAGAAAACGATTACAGTATATCTTCTTCTTCTTCGCGTTCACCGGCTGTTAACTCCAGCGGAAAGTTCTTGTTGTTCGTCCACTTCTGGACTGCGGTCATGTTTCAGAACCTGGGTGTTGCATGTGCATCCGTTTGACAGATCTGGCTCATTTGTGTGCAGACCGTTGGTTCCTTGCCTCTCAGGCGGATGCACCCCGACTTCGAAGGAAGCTCCCAATTAGTCGACTTTTACGACATACTTTTGCGTAGGCAGTGGGTCTATACTTATTTCCCCTATAATATGGCCCCAGAACCCACACGGGGAGATTACAGTATAGAACTGAGGACTATGCCCAGCTGGAAAGGGCTGGAATGTAAAAACGGAACTAATCACGAAAGTCACCCCATCTTGTTCGTGCAAGAGACTTCGTGCCGGGTCCCATTCATGTCGTGCCAATTCCCACAGACTTTCCTGCTGTGGCAGGGTTGCCAGATAGGAAGGAAAAAAAGAGGAAACAATTGCAAATTCATGCTCATTTCATTAGAAAAGTTTATCACTATCGCCTCCACTGAAACCAACACCATACACTTTGTCAGTGGACAAGTCCTTTATTACAGTAGGAGATAGGTGAAATTATTGCAACTAAGCAACTCTGTTCTTGTTCTCACCTTTGTCCCACGAAGTTGCAGCTGCGTTCTATTTATTTCTAGTAGTAGTAGTAGTAGTAGTAGTAGTAATTTAAACAACAATATCTTGTTCGACCAATCCAGGTTATAAATGGAATATAGTATTTTTTTCTAAATGTTTCAGTAATGTTTATTTATGTCTACTAATATCGGATAGCTTTTGTATTAATTGTATTAGATCAAAGAAGCATATTTAATGTACTGTATCTATCCTTTGTTTTGACTGATAATTCCAGAGAGAACACCATCTCAGTAATAGCATTACTAACAGGAGTTATCAAACAAGTCAGAGCAAAAGATGCAAGCTCTGTACTTTAAACGACACCTATAGAAAAACACCAGTCCAAAACTTTTCACGTTCAGTCAATACTTTGTGCTTCTCCGCGCGGAAATGATTCCCGGTAATCTATACTCCAACCATCTGTGCCACCGGTCAGTTAGGGCCCAAGGTAAAAGCAAGAATAGACAGAAACGAAAGCAGAAAAGCAACTACTAACAACAGGAAAGTCAGAGCATAAGCGAATATTTATGGACACCACCATGTCATGCAGATCCACCTGTGACGACTGGTATCGAATCATTGATGTTTTTTTGTGTATGGCAATCCTGTGTTGTCGGGGCGTTACGACGTGGTTTGTTTCATCGTAGTACCAAACACACTGTGTCGAAAAGCAACTACCTCAGGTTTTCGCAACTGTTTTCTGTGAACGGTAGGTCTCAGGCGCCGAAAGCGCCTGTGTACCAGAAAGAAGTACTGGAGGGGGTTTCGCCGAAATTGCGACTCTTCGGGAGTATCAAATCACTAATGTTTCTACGCTCGTTGGCGGTGGCTGTCGTCACTAGTGACTCTACTTGACGTGGGGTGGAGCTTGTGCTTGTCAGTGACCATGACAGCTACACCGGCGGTAGCGTAGCCACCAGCAGGGCTTTCCAATCCAGGCAGCTCAAAGGTAGAGACTGAACAATGAGAGACACCCTGGTCATCCAGTCTGGGGGTTAAAGAGTGGGGTCGACACCACCACCTTTTAAAAACCTCATTGTCGTCACAAAACAAAAATATCTACGCCTCCAGTTTGGATGGAATATATACATAAATACGTAGTCACCAACTGAAAAGCGACATCAGCGACGGGTTCGCCCACGGGCTGGCCGGTAGACGACTTTGTCGTCGGTCGGGACAGTATTTGGGTCTGTCTCATAAACACTGCAATAGTCCTTGTAAGGGCTACTTGGTGGCGAGCAACGCTAAGCCATTTTATCTGGCGCACGTAAACCTAATCACAAATTAATAAGCTAATGCTTCCCTCTTCGGGGATGCTGGTTGAACGTGACAATTTTTATGTGGTAGCAGAGCAAGCCAAAAAGAGACTGAAAAGCGAAGGCCAAACAGAGATATGAATGGAGGCAGGTGATATCTGCAGTAATGAACATTGAAGGCTCAGGTGCTGAGAAAGAATAAACTCCAAGACTGAACGACACCTTGATGTTTGTTCATAATGTTGCGACTGTCATGCAGACAACACAAGACAACACAAGATAATAACGACATTAAAACATTTCAGCTACATACATTGGAAGGAACAATGGCCCAGAGCAGACATAGACTCCTTTGTTTTCTCGCACTAGTTTCTCCCTAATGTAACATTCCAAATCAAACCAGGCACCACAGTTGAACCCAGGAACCTGCATGATAAAAATAATGTGCATCGTTACTAGAAACACTTCACACACTCAGCTACAAATACAGATAATACCATTGATGAACGATATAAAACTGTTGTAACTGATACCGAGGAGCGGCTGCCTGAACGGTTCAGAACGCTGAGTGGGAGATCCAGGTTCGAATCCTCAATAGGGGATTTTTTTTTCCTGTTGGTGGAAAAAATAAAATACTTACCTGTCCGTGGCGTTAAATCCTCATGCTCAAAGACCCTCTTGCCCCCACCGCAAAAGTGGTAAATACAGACATAAAAAAGAAAACAACAATATTCCACACCTTCAGGTGTGTGGGCACGTAGGGCTAGGCCTATATTTATAGATCAATTCACACTTGGTGGGTGATGTGGTCAGCATCATTCCGACCGCCTTTACTTTCCCGGACTGTCTCTGGTATCGACTGGGTCAACCTGGGAGCCAAAGTCCTTTTTGAAAAGAAGTCCGGCTCCGCCAGGACTCGAACCCACAACCTTCTGATCCGCAGGCGAGCGTCTAGCCGCTACACCACGACGACCCCTAAATATAAACAATAATGGGGAGAAAATAATAACACAATAAGGTTAAATACGTTTTGGAAGTTGAACAGCAGAACATGAAAATGGAAACTGCGTGAAGCAGGGGGAGACCTAGAAGTATACGGATCGACAGAGTAACTGACAGCCTAAGACCTGACAACAGCCATAGCCTACCAAGCAATCCTAGCTCGACTGCCTGTCATCCAATAAGCTGCAATGTTTAGCGGCACAAAGCAGATATTGACAAAAGTAGAAGAAACAGAATTATTACACGTGTTCAGCATTATAATTTTGGCTATGTGTCCGTTTTTCAGAAGTTAGAGGTCAAAGAGAGACACGCACACACACACACACACACACACACACACACACACAGAGAAAGATATATATATATATATATATATATATATATACAGAGAGAGAGAGAGGGAGAGGGAGAGAGAGAGAGGGAGAGAGAGAGAGGGGAGAGAGAGAGGGAGAGAGAGAGAGGGAGAGAGAGAGGGAGAGAGAGGGAGGGAGAGAGGGAGAGAGAGAGTGGGATAGAGAGGGAGAGAGAGGGAGAGAGAGAGGGAGATAGAGTGAGGGGGAGAGAGAGAGAGAGGGAGAGAGGGAGAGAGGGAGAGAGAGAGAGAGAGAGAGAGAGGCGTCCGCGTAATATCTGGGGTATGAAATGTAGCAAAGCCTAGAAAGGGAAGTGTAAATTAGAAGCAATAACGAGAGAACTTGAGTAGGCCACCATACAATCACACATGACCATGCCCTTAATGGCTAGTGGCTCCTCTTTAAAGGTCTGCACGATTTATTCCAGTTAGTTAGAAGAGCCGTAATGTTGTACCTTACTTAACTTATTCCAGTTAGTTAGAAGAGCCGTAATGTTGTACCAAAAGTTTGCCACAAATTGAAAAAAACCCAGTGACATCACCTATCCTCCATATTGACCGGAAACAAAATGCAGAAGAAGAAGAAGATGACGATGAAGAGGAAGAAGAAGGAGGAGGAGAAGACGAAGAAGAAGATGATGATGATGAAACAGGAGGAGGAGGAGTAGGAGAAGGAGAAGAAGAAAAAGAAAAAGAAGAAAAAGAAGAAGGAGAAGAAGGAGAAGAAGAAGACGAAGAAAAAGAAGAAGAAGATGATGAATAGGATAAAGGAGAAGGAGGAGGAGGAGGAGGAGGAGAAGAAGAAGAAGAAGAAGAAGAAGAAGAAGAAGAAGAAGAAGAAGAAGAAGAAGAAGAAGAAGAAGAAGAAGAAGAAGAAGAAGAAGAAGAAGAAGAAGATAAAGATTATCAACGTTTATAAATGACGCTGGAAGAACTTACCTGTGGCACGATGTTAGTCATGGTGAAACATTCACAGAATGATTCAGCATCATAGGGATAGTTCTCTGGTTGTGCCATGAGACCCATTTCGTACTCCGTCTCGCAATAATCCTTGGCATCAGCTCGATGGTAACCATGGATTCGACAGTCGGGAGTGAATTTAGGCCTCTCCTTGTCTTCATTGCTTAAGTTCATAAAGAAAACCATAATAAATGCATTTTTCGAGTTCATAGACAAGTGAGAGAAAATACATATCGTTAACTTGATTAGCACTCAGCCCTTTTAGTAAAAGTTTTACCCGCCCAGGACTACAAGTTATACCGGGCTTGCAGCCATTATTGATGTCACAGTTTGAACTTCTATGAAGTTTGAGCGGCGTGTCTGGGTTATGACCGATGGCTTGCCATCCATACTGAGATTTTTTAACCTCAGGGAAGTCAAACGTTCAGGTAGCAGCTCGGATGGAGAAAAACGGAAGAAAAGACGGAAATGCTGTAAATTAAACTAAACAAGACACCCGTTTCTTTTTCACAACATCCAAACTGTGAGATCAAATTAACTTCTGTTGTGCCAGGCTTTTTTAATTGGCAGAGCAAATGGAGTCTTGAAATGTGTGACAATATTTAAAAAAAAAAATAAATAAAGCTAAAGACACCTGGTTTTATTTTTCTTTAGAAATGCGACGAGATTGGGACCAGTCGGGGAGAAGAGGAGTCTTTTGTATAATAATAGGTATTTGAATATTTCGGAAAAAAACTAAGAACCACTAACAAGTCGAAGGAGGGGGGGGGGGGGCAACATTAATAGAAAAATAAAGTATAATTAACAGATAGAGTGCACGGATGAACTACATATATGACGGCAAGAGACTGTGTGTATAAATTCAAGACAGTGATGAGGTATCAGTTCAGTTTCATTGTTCTTTCTGCATATAATGCAACGTTCTCTCACTCTGTTTGCCCGTAAAGCCAGTCCGACGTTTCACTAGCTTAAGTTGAAAAAAAAAAAAAAAGAACTACATGGGACTAGCACACTAGAGGATTTCTGAACTTCATAAGTTTTCTTTTTTAATGTTTCCTTTCTTTACCTTCCTAAACCAGCGGAATCTGTCATGTTACATAGTTCAAGACTACATAGTACCACCCCACCCACTCCTACTCCCGTGTTTCTTGTCCCTACAATTTCTGTAAAGATATCACCTATGTATCGAAACTCAATGTACCACTTCTTCTGACATGCTTAAAGAATACTACATGGTTATGGTAAAAGTATTTAAAAAAAGTAACAGTACATACTGACCAAACAAGACCATTAAAGGGGTGGATGTTTTCTAGTGAAAATTTATTTTATCAACTATCCATATTGGCAGTTAGGAGTGTGATAGGGAATCACGGGCGATGACTGTGTTACAAATACTTGTATGAAAATCTGAAGGATAAATAATAACGAATTTAGAAACATCCTATCTGGCAATGCAATGTGCACTGTTACACTTTTAGCACAATGGAACCAATCATCCGATTACTTGCGTTGTCAAGGATACTACACATATAATATTGTCGCACATCAAACACTTTAATCCACCTAATCTGAAAAGTTTAACGCCTACTAATTTGAAGCGTTGCGTTTTCTCTTTAAGCTCCACATATGTAAAGCTTTAGGATAGACATAGAAAGTAACTTCTTTGAATAGGCGACGTGACATAGTGTACTATGTGATAACAGTGTAAAGTTCTGACAAATTAGTAGTACATAACCTGAGGCTACGGTTTGTAATAGAAAATACCACACAGCAATACGAATAAGTAGGTTCATCGAGCCATTATCTCCAAAACCCAATCAATGTTTTCAGTCGCTTGTTAATGAAGGTCAAATGGGCTTTGTTTGTGTGTGTGTGTGTGTGTGTGTGTGTGTGTGTGTGAGCGCATGCATGTGTACTTGCGTCTGTGTTTTTGTCCGTGCGTGCGCGCGTACGTGCTGATATTCAAATGACTTTTAGCAGACTTTTTGGAAGAAGATCGTGCATACGTTAATACTTCCAAAGGTTAAATCCGTCTTCAGTCTGAACTTTATTAATTTTGAGCAGATGAATAATCTTTCAAGAAGCCCGCATATCAGGCAGACGATTGTCGGTATACCTAAACAACCCCCACCCCCTCCCCTCCCCGGCAGTCTCTCCCTAACCGCTCTAACAAAAATAATATAACTCAAAACGAACACATCGCTCAACACACACAAAAAAATTGGCAAATCTTACCTGGCACATTGCGTACGCTCAACTTTGATTCTTCGATCGCAAGGATCATCCTTGAACAGCTTATCATATTGAAGATGTTCGTAAACCCAGTTAGGGATTCGATTCTTGGAGTCATAGGATACGATGAAGTCCTTGAACCTCAGCGGCTTACAGCAAGCCGTTGGCTGAGGAAATCCAACTCGTTTCTTAATCACATCGCCAACATAACACGGCTCCTTGTTGTCAGCTGCATGCAGCGTTAAGGAATTTAGAACATCCTGTTTCTTTAGAACCATCGCACTCAGGCCGCCAACGACAGAAGTCGCAGCAAAACGCGTGAAATTAAACATATTGAAGCTTCGGTTTTCTAAATAGCCAGGAAAATGGATCTAAAATCCAACAGATGAGCGACTGGGAACGAAAACTACTGATATTAGCAACCAAATAAAATGGTGGTCGCTCGACACCGCTGCTTACCGTTGCTTGTTAGTTTAGAGAAATCGGATAGCCACTAATTTGACGTCATAGTTGAATAACCAAGGACAACTGGACCGTGTTGCTCGGACACAGTGACGTTCCATCCGTTACCGATTTGCGCACAGTGCCATTTGGTGCCGACACTGATTATTTTAGAGAACGATGTTATTGAAATGCGGGGGGTTTCCCTTCTTTCATATGTAAACAACAGCAACATTCACCAGAGACCATATGCTAACATTAATAAACAGAAATGTGTCAAAAATTGCTTTTTAGTTAACTTGTTTAGCTATCTCGTTGAGGAGATGAGTAGTTTCGGTATTTTCTAACCACTGTTTATTTCCCGATAAGTAAAAAGTCGTCTAAAGTAGAGCAGTGAAGTGTTTTCGATGACAACTAGCAATACTAGTGTTCGTGTGGTGGGAATCAAAGGACTATATTTATATGTGTGTACTGTGTGATTCCACGAGTTTGATCCCGCGGGTGGAAGAAGGCACTGTACACAGTCTGTAGTATGAACCACTGCAGATGTTTACCCTTCCTTGGGTTTTCTGTATGTTTTCCCCTTGTTTACGCGGACGTTGCCGGTAATGCAAAAGCTAATATACTGACTGACTGCAATATTTTCAGGTGGCGGGTTTATGATTGCGACATTGTTAGTTAGAAAGAAAGGACGACTGGGGGATTTTCGGGACAATATGTCTAAATCGCTGCCAAGAATGAAAGAACTGGGAGTAATATTCGGCACAGCAAGACAGGAGAGCCGAGCAGACCAGCCTATAAATATCATTATTTGCCACAAGTGCTGATGTATGTATATTCTAAGAAGGTGGAATCTGAAGAGCCTATGCACATGTCCGTGGGGTCTGTCAGGATATTTCAACTGATAACACACATCTCTGAGTGCTAAAGTGATGACTATAGAGCATCGTTTCCGATCTCTAGGCTGAAGTCTGAAGGTTTTACTGACAGAAAAGCTGCGCCCTGTATGACAGTTCAACAGGGAAAATCCTAGATACCCATATACATTGCCATATAAAAATTATAATGTTGACACTCGAAACGGCAAAACCTTCGCGAGAGATGGTGAAGATAAATCTTATGCACCCTACTGTCCTTAGTGGATAAAGACTGAGCGTTGAGATCAAAACTGACACCATAGCCCTCTAGAAAATCCCATAAGCGCTGGGTCCTTATCATTATCAGCCAGCGAAGAGTTCCGTTTCCGATGGTGCCAACAGGAGTTTGATTTGCTGCCCGTCTTGAATTTTCTTTAAGTGTAGAACGTCGACGAGATTCCCTAATCACTCCTAGCTGTACCTGGCTACTCTCCAGACCATAATGCTATTCGTCCCTCCTCATTGTTCACTTGCTCGCAAATGGACATTGATCGCATCTACTTGTAGCTTGTCAAGCATAAATTTATTATCATTGGTGCAGAACCAGCGAATCTGTCAGTTTATCTCCTAACACTCATGGATTGTGACTGAGTCATTGAAGTGTTTTTTTTCCCTTCAGAATCTGTGCTTTTATGTGTCTGGGGGACTGTAAGCGGACAAGGTCAGAGGCAGCTAGTGGCAGTGAGTGTTTGACGGCTGAGAATAATGCAGTAAATAAAACAAACAGCGAGGCGAGCAAGGATGTCTTTCAGAAAATTAATGGGAGATAGAATTACTGAGTCAACGAATCTGTTAAATCGGCACACACTGTTAAGATGTTAAATCTCCTTGTCGCCAAATAAACCAACAACCCGGTTTAAAAGTAAAATGCAACAACAGATGCATGTCTGAATTCAAAATTAAAAGATAAAATAGTGACAATAATGTTATAAAGATAAGATGTGTTTTTATTTAATGATGTTTAAAAATAAACAAAAACAATGCTAACATTTCTTAGCACAGAGTTACATTTTCTTGACGCAGCAGGAAGTGACGTTTGCGGTACACTGCATCTTATCATCATCATTCATAATTTCCACTTTTGTCTCTAAGCGTTGTGGGGAAAAAAAAAAGGGGGGGGGGGGGGGAACAGTTTGCCATCCATTGCTTGATGGACTTCAATGGCTAGCCCTTAAAGATATGCGGCTAGGCGATGATACGCTGAACGTGGCCGGTTTCAACTGTTTCTACAACAAGCGACACCTGGAAATGGTCATCCTTGTACGAGACAACATTGTTGCGACAGAGATGGACATGTCTCGTTGGGACAGTGATGGACATGTCTCGGTGGGCCAGAGATGGGCATGTCTCGTTGGAACAGAGATGGACATGTCTCGGTGGGCCAGAGATGGGCATGTCTCGTTGGGACAGAGATGGGCATGTCTCGTTGGGATAGAGATGGGCATGTCTCGTTGGGACAGAGATGGACATGTCTCGTTGGGATAGAGATGGACATGTCTCGTTGGGACAGAGATGGACATGTCTAGTTAAGACAAAGATGGACATGTCTCGTTGGGATAGAGATGGACATGTCTCGTTGGGACAGAGATGGACATGTCTCGTAGGGACAGTGACACACTTCAAATACAAGGAATAAAAGTTCTGTCGGAAATTCCTTTTGTGCTGACCATTGTGTACGCCTGTAACGCGAAAGTAAACTGGCAGTGCCTCCGTGAGATTATAGAGTTTTGTGAGGAAAACATCATTTTCTGTAGTGATTTTAACGGGAAAGGGCGCACAAGGGTAAACCTTTCTTCAAACACACAAGGAGAGACGCTCGATGATGCTCTGAAAACCACCGACTTTTTATGCATCAAAAATAGTCTAGTCACAAGCATTACAAGCTGACCAGGAGATGAGGAGTCATGGCAGTGATTACCATCCCTGCATCATCATGGTGGAGAAAGGCAGATCTAGGAGTCACAGACACAAAGTGAAGACCTTTAAATATGACAGCACAAGGCAGGATGTGGTGGGCAGGATAAGGCGTTTGAAGCTCGGAAATCAACGCAACAAGAGGAAAAGCCTGATGGAACAATGATGTAGAAAAGACTTGGGCAGACAAACGAAGTGGAAATTGCAGAACGCTAGAAAAAGAGAAATGCCCAGTCCGACAGTTTTAAAACCTCAGCAAAGACAGTAAAAAGAGAAAAGTGTGCAGAACTATATGAACAGGTGAGCTAAGACAAGTCATTGAAACTGTTCTGACGACTCCACAAGAGTATGAATAGTGCAGGGAAGAGCAGAAGCATTCCCAACTTCCAGACCGCAGACCTTGCTTGGCAGAGATCAGACGAACTTTAGGGCAAGGCGCTGTTCACCCACTATATAGAACAGAGCGACCAGAAAAATCAGCTAGGAAACAATACCTCCAGAACGGCAATCTCAGATATGTTGTAAAATCCAGGAAGTCGATAATGAGGACCTAGTGACAGGGGATGAGATTAAGGCACCGGGTCCAGATGGCATACGATACAAAGATGTTGGCAAATGTTCTGAAAAAGAGCCAGCGGAACTGGCAACTGTTTACAACAACAGTGTTAAGGGCGGAATAATAGAAGAAGAGTGGACACACAGCTACTTAAAACCTCTGCCGTAGCCTGGCAAAGACCACACAGAGATCCAGGAATACAGAGTAATGACAGTGCAGAACACGATAGGCAAACGGGTTTAGAAGATTATTGCCAAAAACATATCCTGCCGGCTCGAAAGACAAGGCCTACCTTGGTGGCTACCACTCCAACATAGAAACTTGGAGTAATACTGCTGTTTTTGCCCGCGACGTATATGAGGGTTCCATTCAGGCATTGAAACCTGTGCAGAGGCTAATGACCTCGAGGATGCTTACAACCGAGTATTTTTCGACTTTTTAATGTTTCAGCTACTAGAATTACATATCAGTCCTCTGCTGATGAAGTTTTGGTGTACCGTCAGGGCAAAGATCGGAATGAGATTGCAAAAAAACTTCAGTCTGAACTTGACCGCACATTCAGTTAGTGTGGTGAGGCAGGAGCAAAGGTCAACCCAACGAAGGCAGCCGTGACATGGTTCTCGCTAAACAACCGTACTGTCAATACTCCAGCACCAACTCTAAATTTATGTTCGGAAGTGGTGGAAAGCGCTCCTGCAAATAAAAAACACGGGAGTTCTTTTTGATCACAGTCTGGGTTACTGGGCACAAATACCATATGGTTAGGAGGGGTTTGGCAGCTATAAAAGTCATGGTGGCAGCAAAGTGATAACAGCGACATCTGTGTCTTTTTTACCAAGGTCTGCTCCTTTCAGTGATCGAGTATGACTTGGCGATTCTTACTCTTAGGCAGACAGTTTGAGAGACTTTTACCTTTACCTTTAGAGACTGGAAACAAAACAAAACGAGGCCAAGCGCATTACACTTAGGTGCACTATATATACAGCATGCAGAACAATGTGGTACCTCCTTGGTTTTCCAAATAGGGAAGCTAGAGTAAGGATCTGTCGAGCACACGTCTACCTCCGAGTCAGTGCACAGTGAAATCAGTAAAAGAAAAGGCAGCAGATTAAAGAGAGGAAAATCATTTATAGTTCAGGCCGAGGATATTATACAAGAAGTTTGTCCACTTGAGGACATAGAACTTGGGGAAGAATGGGTACGTGTACCACAAGAGTGTCGTACGTCCTTTAAAGTATAAATCAAGTTGAACAAAGAATGCAGACAACAAAACCCAGTAGTTGTGGAAGTAGAAGTGTTACCTTGACATGTGAGAATTCTTCTGATTGCGATGTGATCATCTACACAAACGGGTCTCTCATTTGAAACGTCAGGAGCTCGTGGGCATTTACAGCTCAGTTCGGAGGGAGAACTGTCAAACAAGACTGAGGTGCCTTCGCCTTGATGACAATCAGTTTGACTGTGGAGGTCATGGCAGCAACTAAAGCAACAGCCTGGCTAAAAA